TTGCTTGATCTTTCTGAGGTATAACCAATTGCTTATGGTGCTAGGTTAGACATTGGGAATAATTGTGTACAAGTAACTTGCATTACTTTGTATTTGTGCATATGATCTTCTTTATGACTCCAAGTCTTCTGTCTTGAGAGCCTAAATGGTTAGGATGTTGATTAAAATTTGGAAGAGGAAGAGCAGTTTGGTGAGTTCAGTTTTGGTCCTGTTAATTTTGAGATGCCAGGGGAAATTTAGATAGTCTGTTTCATGGGCAGTTAGAGAGTTTAGAAGCTCCAGAGGCAGGTCTGACCTGGAGATAAAATTTTAGTAATAAATAGAATATATGTTACTTGAGCCACAGGACCTGGACTCAGACCTATATTTAAATCTTGGATCAGACACTGATTATCTGCTTCTCTTTATATAAAATGGGATATCTAACCCAGGATCTTTGTTAAGGATTCAGTGAAAAACTAGAAAGCACTTAGCACACTGAGTCCAGAAAGTGACAAAATCATCATTAGCTTACAACACAGACTTATAAACAAACTCCATTATAACAAAAAGCATTTTTTAAAAATGGGATTAATTTAAATGCTATCTGAAATGCATTTGAATGGAAGACTTGTCACGGATGTCAAGGATGGTTTGGTGCCCATGTGGCAGCATGGTGCATGCATTGTCACCTGGCCAGCAAGACCTAAGTGTGCATTAGTGCAAGGGATGAAAGATACAAGTCCATGTGAGGGGCTTTCTGGTAGGCGACTTGTCTCCAGGGCAGCAACCCAGGTACAACTTACTCCTTCTTCTTAAAAGAAAGATCTTACAGAAAGCATGATCTTTTTTCATATTATGTTGCTGGCCCAATACTTAGGTGTTAAATTCTATATAGTTGATAATCAGTAGTTTAATATTTGTGCCTCCAAATCAATTTCTCCATGGCTCTTTTTAAATTCTTAGCCTCTATTTTGGCTCATAATTTGATTTGTACATAATTATGAATTTACTTGTGTTGTAAAATGCCACATCATTACGAAAGCCAGCAAAATTTGGACCAGAGTAAAGCTTCTATAGGAACCATAATTGCTTCTCCTTGGTGTTAGGTTTTCATACTGTGACTTAGTGGGATGTGTTTAAAACAGATGGGAAAACCTTTGAAAAAGTAACAAAATGATCAGAAAAAGAAGTCCATTTAGAAAAGTTGAGGAATCATCAAAATTTATCTACACAGGGCCACCAAATTGGCCCAATTAGTTTAAAGAATAGGTTTGAAAAGTGTATCCTTGTTTTGCTGTTCTTAAAGGAATCATATGGCATTAAAAAAATTCAGCAGCTTTAATTAGCTAGTATCATTCTTGAAATAATGATCTATTTTGAGTGTATACAAACATCATCATAATTTTCCCATTCCTATGTGTATGTCCTTTTGAAATGGAACTTTGCTGTTTTTCCTATCAAGAAGGGTAATCTGTGCTGGCCTTTTGATCTACTTTGACTAATAGAATGTAGTAGAAGTGAGCTCATGTAACTTCTGCTTCAAGAGGTCTTATAGTTTCCTGTTTGTACCTGCCTGGCATGCTGCCTAGATATGAAGCAGCCCAGGCTAACCTTAAGAAAGGATAGAAGTACAGACAATAGTCAACACCAACAACCAGTCAGGAGTGTGCCCAGTTAAAATGCCAGATGACTATATGCATGATCCCAGACAAGACCAGTCTAAATCACTGCTCTATACAATTGAGAGTACATAAAATGATTATTTCTAGAGTGTTTTCTTATGCAGTAATATGTACATGTATGTATGTGTAGATTTATGGTAGAATTTTCCTTGAAAGATGAGACAATTTTAAACCATAAGAAAGTCTTAAGTTAATCATTAGGACATACTTCCAGACTTTAACGATCAAAATGTTCCTTAAAGCTATAATAATGGGTCATGTAGGTTGCTGCAGTGAACAAGGAAAGGGGAAGAAGACAGATAATATTTCTGGGATGATTTGTGTACAGTCATTTTAGAGGTAGGATGATAATTCTAGATGACGTCCAAAGTCTAAGCTCTAGAGCTCTGTGAAATTTCAATTAAATTCTTGTAATTTAGCAACTCCATTTCCACTTCATAAACTTGTACATAGCATTTTAGTACATTTCACAACTGACAGGATCTACTGGCTCATCTTTCACATATAGTGTGATCCAAAATGGCTGTGGTGTAGAGGGGCACGTGGGTGGCTCAGTCATTTGTGTCTGACTCTTGATTTCAGCTCAGGTCATGATCTCATGGTTTGTGTTTGAGCCCCTCATTGGGCTCTGCACTGACCTCCTGGAGCCTGCTTGGGATTCTCTGTCTCCCTCTCTCTCAGGAATAAACATTTTTTAAAAATGGCTATGGTACAGTGTAGGCAATGCAGTATAGGCAATATAGGATAATGGCTAAGGTCATGAATTTCAGAGCCATACAGCTTGGGTTCAAATGCTGCCTCTCAGCTCTGTTTTGCCTTAGTTTCCCTACCTGTAGAATGAAAGGATAACAAAATCTCCTTGAATTGATAGGATGAGTTATTCTTGATCTTAAAACATTAATTACTCAATAAATGTCAAATACTAGCATTTTTACAGAAGGCTCTGTTACTGTGTTACCTTCAGCAAATCAGTTAATCTCTCCGGGTTTGTTTTCTCATTTATAAAATAAGGTTTACAAGGTAATTTCCATGGTTTCTTTCCATCTTTAAAATTCTGTAATTCAGTTTTCGATATTTTCCGTACACAAACATTCCTATCTTGTCTATAATTCTGATTTCTCAAAAGTTGTTTAAAATTTATTCTATTAGCAAGCAGTTTTGAGGACCCTCCAATACCAGGGTTGCCCTCCAGGTTACTCAGGAAGCTAACCGTTTTTTACTCCCGTGTGGTCAGCAAACATTTATAACACATATCTGAAGCAGTGACTTTTCAGGTTTATAGAAACTTAAAGTTGTATAGTCATTTTTTGTGCTAACTGTGCTAATAAAAGTTGGAAAAGGTCCTCCGAAAATGAAAATACTTCACCTTAAATTTTACCAAAGATATCCAATGTTAAAAATTACCTGTAATTCCACTGTGTAATTCCACATTAATTTTTTTCGCTCTGCCTAAGCGTACTGGATACAATTAAATATTACACAAAATGATTTCTATTGGCTGCATAACAAACACCATCACGTGGACATAATCATAATTTGTTTTACATGACATATAAGTTGTGGCATTACATTTTAGTTTGACCTTGTGGGATGCTTCTTGACAATGGGACAGAAAAAAATGATCAAACATAATACTCCTGTGACTGGTTAAGTGTGTACAGTACCTGGAATTCCCTTTAAAAAGTGGATCCCTTTTCTTCTTTTTCCTGTCAACCCTCTAATCAAAGCTGCTACAATCTCTCAAGACCTACAAAATTCTCCATTAAGAATTTTTACAGTAAAAAGTTTTATCAATTAATGACTGGACGGACCACAGACTTTCCTTTGCATTTTGAAAACAGATTTCAGTCACGAGTTTGCTCTTCCAAAATACACATAGAGCCTACCTACTGCTAAACTGCTCTTTCAGGACCCAGCAAACCGACAATTTCGGCGCGAGGAGCTAACAATGCAAATGCGCTTTTTTCCTCCCTTAACATTTCCCGGCCGTCGGTGGACACATATTTGCGTGAAGAACGAGAATTCCCTTCTGCGAGATGAGGAGGCAGCTCTCCTGTCCCAAGAGGCGGCCACACGGGTTTGCGGAATTTGACAGACGACCTCGATCTTCGGGGATTTTCCGAGCAGGACGCGGGCGCCGAAGAGGGAAAAGTGCGTACCGCCCAAGTGACCCACCTTCGGCTTCAGGTCCCAGAAGCGCAGCGCCGCCTCAGTCAATGCCGACCCTCCACCGCTAGTTTTCCTCCCACGGACCTGATGAAAACCCCCAAGTTCTAAGAGGCACACTTCGAAAATCGTTGGGTTGAAAAAAAAAAATACCGACTTTTACCATTTTATAAGAGTGCCGACAACCTTTTCGGAGTCACCACTACTTACAGCTCACCCATTTGCCAATCTCTTCATTCCCGTGCTTTTCCAACCCTCCCTCTTTGGGTTCCACTCAAAGGAGAAAAGCGAGAGCAACAGTTTGGTCGCCGATCAGCCCGTCCGTCTCCAGGGCACAAACGGCCCAGGGCTTCGGCTCTCTGTCGGCCCGCGGGAGGACGCGCGTACGAGGGGCCGGCCCGAGACCCCGGACGCGGCCCGAAAGCCACCGGCCAAGGTTCCCTCCCCTAGCCCGGCCGCGGCGCGTTGCCTCCCCACAGGCCCGGGCGCCCGGCCGGGCGCATGCGCGCGGCGCTCCCGGGCGTGCCGGCCACACTCCCCCCACCCACTCGGAGAGCTTGTCACTTCCTGCCCTCGCCCCATCTCCGTCCGGGGTCAGTCAGTCGCTCCCTGTCGCTGCGGGAGAGTCTCTGCTTCCCCCTTCCTACCCGCTCCGCGGCTGTAGCTCAGGCTCTTCGAGGAGGGGGGAGACGGAGAGAGGCAGAGAGACTGACTTAATAAAGTTTCCTGAAACAACTACTACCAAAAAAAGGCCCAAGGTGGGGGGAACCCCCATTCTTCCCCGCCCCTCTCCAAAAGCCTGAGGGACCGTTGCAGGTGGAGCGGCGCTGGGGGGAGCCGGGCTCCGGCGGCAGCCGTTGCCCCGGCGAGGGGCGCCCAGGTCCTGCCCGCTGTGGTTCCGGCTCCTTCGGTGGCGGCGGCGGCTTCTGCGGGGCGGTTCCTCCTGTCAACTGCCTGCGCCCGCGCGCCACCCGCCCGCCCAGCTCCAAAGCGCGGAGGGACGCCGTGAGCCGCCGCCGCCGTCGTCGTCGTCGCCTCGGGCCGCGGAGGGACGTGGTGAGCAGTGGCGCTTCCGCGTCAGCGCCGGCGGGGACTCTTTGGGAGCGCGTCGGGCCCGAATCCCGGTTCCCTTCGCGTGGTCCACCGAGGCTGCGCCAGGTGGGGCCCGAAGCCGCCTCCCACGCCAGGCTGTCCCCGCGGCTGCCCGGCCTGCCTTCCTTCCTTCCGCCTGCCCGCCGGCCCGCCCTAGGAGTTAAGTAAGTTGGGCGCACTTGGTTACGGGGACGGGGGCTCCTCCGGAGAGACCCCAACGCACGTGCGTGGCGGGAGGGCGCGGCGTGGGTCGGCCCCCGGCGGGAGCCGCACCTCGGCCGCCCCTGTCGCCGCGCCCGCCGCCCCGCGGGCCCCGGCGCCGGCCGTGCCCGCCGCGCTCCGCGCCTCCGTCTCCGCGCGCGCCCGCCCGGGCCGGCGAGGCCGCTGCCGCCCGCGCAGCCGGCCAGGCCCTCGCCTTGCGCTGCGCGCCCCAGGCTGCGTTTCCGGGTAGGGCGATGAACCTGTGCGGGAGTTTGGGCCGGAGAAGCCTTCGTGCGTGTTTCTTTTTCAGTTCTGGAGGAAGGTGCGGGCGCGTGGAGGGAAAGCGGAACGCGGGTGGGGGGAACGTATCTGGAAAATAGCGCCAGAGCCTCCCCAGGAAGTTCAGGGTGAGTGACGGGTTTGTGCTTCTTTTAACAGCCGAGCCGCAATGAAGAGCTTCTTACAGTAAAAGGAAAGTAGGTCTCGCCCACTGAAAATGCCTTTAAGGGACAAATACTGTCAGACTGACCACCATCATCACGGATGCTGTGAACCAGGTATACTCCTTTCTTCTCCAGTTACTTTGCCCTCCGTCAGGGTCAACTTTGCCTTGTGTTTCTTTCCAGTTTTCTTGTTCACCTGCCCAAGAAGTCATTTCTAAGGAAGCAGGCTATAATTTTCCCCAGCGTAAAACTAGTTATGAAGCTAAAAGCTTGTACAAACAAGAGGTCTCCCCTGCTTGATCCCTTAAAAAAAGTACTGCAAGTGTCACCTTAAATCTTTTCCACTAGGTCAATCACTCAGTCCCTTTTCCTTCTTTCATGGCAGCCCGCAGTTAGTAGTATACCCCCTTGCCCTCTGAATGTTTAAAACTGAAGAGAAAGGAGAAAATAGGTAGTAGAATGCTAGCATTTGTCTTTGTGAAAGTGGAGTCTTTTAAACTTTTCAAAGTTAAACGTTTCTCATGCGTTTTTATCAGGGAATAGCGGTTAGAGCCAAAAAATGAGTTTAGTTTGGGCTAAAACGATTGTTAAACTCAACTTGTTGAAAGAATCAGCTTTTTGCTAACTGCAACCTTTTAAAATTTTCTTGGACAGAATACAGTGTATGGCAACAAAAAACAAAAAACAAAAAACAACCCAACCCCTGATTATTTAAGTAGAATATATAAGTGTTTTTACTTAAGGATCCATAAGGATAGTTTATTCATTGGAACTGTTTTTAAGTTGGATTTATGTAATGAAAAAGTTCCTTTTTTGAGTCTCATGAAGAATTTTAGAAAACTTTGATAAATGTGGCATATAAACTGTTGAGTTTTTCTAGTTATTAGAAGTTTGATGTGTTTTGTCAGAAACATTTAGAGGTACAACTTACAAGTGAATCATTGAATACATATGTGAGTAGGCCAAACAGAGGCTGTTTATTCTATTCTAGTTTAAAGGCAGGTGCTTATCATTATTTTTGACCTAAAAGTTGTTAGGACTTTTTATGCGTTTGCTTGTTTTCTGTTGGAGTATTTTGACTGCTCCAGTGTACTTGGTCTTATCACAATAGGGCTCATTTCAAGTAGTGAACTTTTTTTGACTAATGGGGAAAAAGAATGGTAGTGGTAAAAGGCGAAGAAATCGCATTTTCAGAAAGCGTTTGTACACATGAGAATTAAAATTGTACTGTGACCCCATCTCCCCCACTGGCTTGTTGGAAATCAGTAATAACTTAACTTCATCTAAGAAGATAGTCCCAGGATGGGACCTTGTTTCTGTTCTGCTGTTCCTGACTTATCTAGTTTGCAGCACCCCTTCACACTGCATGTTTTGTGTGTCATTTATGTTTTACTAACTATTGGAGTTTGCTAGTTTTGAAGTAGAAGGCTGTGAATGCCTTTTATAATTGTGTTCTACTGACCTTTTTATTCCAGTTTTGCTTTGTTCTGAAAACATTTCAAGTCATTTAAGTTGAGTGAATTAAGGAAATCATTTTATTAAAGCTTCTTACTTAGGAACAAGTTTATGTGTTCATTTTATTTCTTTATTTCTTTGCCAAGTTATTGAGCACCTGTTAGGTGCTAGGCACTGTCCATGGCAATGGGGATGTAAGTGGTGAACAGAACAGATAAGGTCATTCACTTATAGGACTTTTGACTGGGAAGAAATGGATATAAAGTAAATAAGATAATTTGTGACTATACCTTATTTAGTGTATTCTGATAATTAAGTTTCCTAGAGACTTCAGTGTCTTTTTAAAGATGTTTTTCACAGTTGAACTTTTTAATGTGTGTTGGAACTTCTTTGTTTTCTTCTCCTTCATTAACAAATCATTCAAGTTGCATTAATTTTGAAAATTAAACTTTCTTTTGTGAGAAACTTTTTCAATGTAGTTTACTTTTCAGACTACCAGGTCAAAAGTAGTTAGTGTTTCTTCGCTTTCTTAGTTAGAATTAAACACTTTCTTAAGACTACTTTGGTGGAAAGCTAGAAGTTTGTTAACCTATAGAGTTGTTAATTGTCATTATTTCAGAGGAAGTTATGTGCTGAGTGGGAGGGTATTTCCAGTATAAAGAGGAATACGTTATGATGTGATAGTTTTTGAAAGATGATGCCTTCAGATGGAGGGAAGAAGGTAACATGGTGTTTGAGAAATTATTTTAATGGCCAGTCACCAGAGATCTATCCTCTTGAATTATGAATAGTGGGCAGGTCCCTGGATGAGAGCAGTGTGTTCCTGAGGAGGCCTTGATAGGATGGGTCAATTTGTAGTGGAGGGTGGTGTTACAAACCTGTCAGTGTATGTGAAGTACTTTTTTAGTTATGTTTTAAGAATGTTCCTTACAGAAATTTTCAAACATTCAGAAGTAGAGAGAAAGGTATAAGGAACCTGGTATAGTCATCACATACTCCATCAGTTATTAATACATGGACAATATCTTTTCGTCTACATTTTCCCTTCTCCACAGTTCTCCACCCTCCAACTGCTTCCCCTTCGTCTATTATTTGTAAGTAAATGCCAGATGAAAGATCTTTTAAGGTACTTGTTTTAAGCGAGGAGAGACTGTTACAAATGTAGGTATTTGATTCTGGGAAGTGTGTTCTTGGAAGGATGTAAAGACAGATGTTAACTTCTGAGTGTTTTGGTACTTTGGAGGGAGATGGTGGATTTTTTTCCTAATGGTCATGTAAATAGATCTTGGGAGGGAAGATAGGATATATGAAAGGAAACTTGTATAAAATACTAATATAAATTTTTTTAGGATTGAGAGTTTATTTTCAAACGAAGGTTTTGTTTTGTTTTGTTTTACAATGGGAACGACACAGATCTGTATATTAAGTGGATGTATCTGTGGATAACTAAGCTAACCCTGGGGTTCTTTTGAATGATGTCTCAGGATGTTGATGTGTCTGGTGGTAGCAGTGTTCTGAAGGTGATTAGGTAACACAATTTCGCTTTGGCTTTGAAATCAGATGTTGTCATGTGGAAGTGGAAGCTGACGTATTATAGAAAGTTTTCTGGAGCATTTTTAAATGAGGAAAGGGGACTCTCAGGACCAGTTACCATTTTTTCCTCTTATCCCATCCTTATTCATCACTATTTTTTTAATTTTCCCTTTCTAGAATTCTTGCCTCTTAGAGAGCCAAACCCTTGACTCTTTTGGTTCTTTATAATTATAAAATTTCTATCCTTTTCTTGGTAGATATTAATATCTTTTGGTAAATGTTTGTCAGATGTTATAATGTACAAATAGTGAAAAGAAATCCATCTAATCTCAATAAATGGTATCATCACTTTATTTACAAGATTCTGCTATTGTATCTTTAAGGGGTTGAATTCTACTTCTCTTAGATTTTGGAAACAATTTTTCAGGTTTTTTTTGTGTCAGAAAGCAGTTGATTTGTACATGATGATGTTGGTGGTGGTGGTGGTGATAGAGTATTTATTGAGCACTTACTATATCATAGGCTGTTTTAACTAGTTAACCAGTTTACTTGCATTAGCTCATTTAACTCTCATGCAACCCTAAGATCTGGATACTTTTATTATCCCCATTTTAGAGATTGAGAATGAGATTAGAGAGTTTAATTTGCCTTATTTATGTCTAATAAATGTCAGAAAAAAAAATTTTGGTGTAGTAAGTCCAGGTCTGGAGTCTTTATATTCTTAATTGCTGCAGGTAGTACCAATGTCAGATGTCTCAGAATGAATTGTAGGTGTGTGCATGTTATTCACTTAAAATACTCCTAAAGTATCTCTTAAAATTGGGAAAGTTGTACATAATAAAATGACTTGGTCCTGAGACATAGTTTCTCTCGTTTGGTGAACACTGAGCACAAGACTTGAATCCTTAAAGAGACTCTAAGGCTGTGTCTATATACAGAGCACAGCAAGCGTTAGCCCCCTTATCAGAAAGCTAACTGCTGTCCAAGACCAGGTCCTGAAGCAGTAGCAGCACACATCCCTCCTTATTTCCCCACAGACTGGACAGAAAACTGGCTGGTTTTTCTGTACCACAATCATGACTTTATTTGGTATCTGATGGGAAAACTCAGTTTTCCTTTTCAGTTACTTTTTATCATAATCTAATTTATTACATAATTACACTGTGAACCTGAGAATTTTGGAAAAGAGGCCTTTGTATATGAAAATAAAAAATTTTATTTTTAAGGTGGAAATACTATTTTTCCTTCTTATGGAAATGTGTCTTTTTCTAACATGCGCTCTTCTGAAAGCCCAGGCTCTGAAGCACTCACTAGTGAAGTATGAGGCAGAAAGTGAAAATTACCTCTGTAAAACCCACCCAGACAGAACCCTTGTTTTGTTGGTATCCCACCAGACTTTCTGTGTTTATATTAGTGTCTGTACATACACACATGTACGTTAAATTTCTCTCTGTATCTGTTTAAATATACATTAATATGAGAGAGATCATATTCCATAAGCTGTTTTTATTGCTAAATCTATTACTGACATTCTTTGTTGTTAGTATATGTAGATCTAGCTCTTGCTTTCTAATAGCCTTGAAGGATTCCGTTGTAGGGATATTTCATGGTTTATTTAGTCTGATTCCTGTTGAGAGACTTTTAAGTTGCTTGAAGTTTTTCTGAATTATTTACAGTGCTACAGAGTACTGCAGTGAACATTCTTGAACATCTGTCATTGTGCACTTCACTAGTTCTTTCCTAGGAAGTGGTTTTTGAGTTTTGCTCTCATAATTGCCCATAGAGCTATGCTAGATTGTCCAGAGGGTTTTGGAATGGTTTATGAGATGTGGCTAGGCCATCATTGCCCTAGAATTTTGGTTAAATACAGTAGTTCCTCTTCAAGGGGAATAAAAAGGCAGACATGACAGATAATGTGCTAAATAATACCAAAATACTAAATCTTTGCATTTGAAGCCTTACATAGCTTTAATTTAGCCTTGAATTGAGGATAATTTTAGTTATTTTTTCCCCGTTATTTCATTTTGCCTTACAAAGATGATGGTGAAATATATACAAATAAGTGTGATTATCATTAACATGATTGTAGCAAACCGTTGTTTTACTTTAACAGTAAATGATTTAAATAACCCTTTTTTTGTGGGGATTGGGGTGGGTGTTTGTCTTCCATGTAGTTTATATCCTGGAACCTGGAGATGCTCCTTTGTTACAGCAACCACTACAGACATCCAAATCTGGTATTCAACAAATAATTGAGTGCTTTCGATCAGGTATGAATGTTTTAGGATGTATTTTTCAATCTTCACATAGTAGTTAAAAAGTACCTAGAAATCCTTAGAATTAATTTTTTAAAAATATTAAAATGTATGCATTGGTTTTATAGAATACTTTTAATTGCCATACTTTTAAAAAGTGGATCAATAAATATTGACTTGATCTAGATTCTTTTTCAGTACTGTATATTATATATTAATATAGAAATAAACTTATTTAGTATGGTTTAAAGAAATATATGTGGTTTTTTGTTGATAATGATTTATTGTTATTTTTTGGCATATTCTTTATAAACTCTCAAAGGGCGGTAGTGAATTATATTGGGTCTTTAAACCCATTGTCAGAGTAGATTATTTATTCACAATGTTGGAGATGTCACATATTTTAGATTAATGTATCATCTCTTTATGTGACTCACCTTCTTCTGCCTAACCCTGGAATTTCAGTATCTTTAATGGAGTAGAAGATAGGAAAAACGCTTATTCCAGCCCTAGTATCTTCGGCCGCATGTGTTTAGCTTTTCTTTCTAGTAGATTATTATAGTAATTGCGTGTATAATAAGGGTACTTGTGCAGGTGCAATCCAGTGCTTTAAAATAGTTGTTGCTTACTACATATACATGATTGAGAACTGTCAGAACTGTGTTATCAGTAAGATCTTAGGCTGCTTTGATTCTTATAATCCACTTGTCCACCATTTGTAGATTTGGCTTCTTTGACATCACAGATTATTGAGTTAGATATAAAATAAACAAACACATATGATTGATGGGATACCTAACTGATGGAAACTTAAAGAATTAGAATATCTTTTGTTATTATTCTAAAGCTTACTATTTTGATGAAAAGTTTCAGAGATTCAAAGGAAGAGATGATTTATATGTAACTACTTGTTTTATGTTGATAAATTCTTTGAGGTCCTTGTTTTAAAATCACTGTAAAGAGGAATGGCATATATTTGCTTTATTTTAGGATCTAAGAAATAGTTTTTTCCTTAATCTAAAATAAAAAGGTTTTCTGATTTTACAATATGTATTTCTTGGACTTTTCATCTATAGTCCTCATGGCATTGCTTTTATGTATATTTAGTTAAGTACTGAGTGTATACCAATGCCTTGCTTATGTTGGTAAACCTATTTTAGGGTGGGTTTTTTTTTTTTTTTTTTTTTTTTTTTTTTTTTGTTTTTTTTCATTAACAGATGTAACTGATAGGTCAGCAGAGAGGGAGACACAAAATACTAAAATTTTACTTATTAAGGACAGTATTTATAATATACTTCTGGCANATCTATAGTCCTCATGGCATTGCTTTTATGTATATTTAGTTAAGTACTGAGTGTATACCAATGCCTTGCTTATGTTGGTAAACCTATTTTAGGGTGGTTTTTTTTTTTTTTTTTTTTTTTTACTTTTGATAGTTGCCCTTCATTAACAGATGTAACTGATAGGTCAGATTTCCCTATAGTAAAGAAAACTAAAATTTTACTTATTAAGGACAGTATTTATAATATACTTCTGGCATAACAGAAGAGTGGTTAGTTTCTATTTGTAGTAAGAGTTTTTATTAGCTACTTTTAGTGGAGAAATAATTCTTTTTGCACTTTTTCCTGGAAATGAAGATAATAGTTTTTCACATTTAGTTATACTCTTTGCTATAGGTTTTTAAAATCCAAAATTTACAGAGAAAGACAAATACCATATGATTTCACTAATATGTGGAATTTAAGTTACAAAACAGATGAAAATAAGGTCGGGGGTGGGGAAGAGGAGAGAGGGAAACAAACCACAAAAGATTCTTAAGGAATCTAGAGAACAAACTGAGGGTTAATGGAGGGAGCTGGGTGGGAGGTTGGCTAGATGGGTGGTGGTTACTAAGGAGGGCACTTATGATGAGCGCTGGGTATTATATTCAAGTGATGAATCATTGAATTCTACTTCTGAAACCAATATTGCACTCTATGTTAGCTAAATAAATTTAAATAATATTTAAAAATCCTACTACAATTTATTATAGTGTTCTTATTTGATTAAGTTAGAATTGGTTCATTCATAAATGCTTTGTCTTATAAAATATCCCTTTCCAAGAAGATCCTGGTCTCAAAAATCTGTGTTTAACTGTGGAGGATGAATATTTAAAAAATGAAATTGTTTTCTTTTTGCACTGTGGTCATGTAGGTTTTCTGTGTTTGCTGTTTCTTTACAATCAAAGCTAAAGAAAAGGGTCTGTGAAATGGGTAAAATGTTCTTTTTAAAATGTCCCCAGCAGATTTGCCTTCTATGTTTCATTTAGGCAAATTTTGAAAATACTATGAATTTAATAATTCTAAGTACCCAGTAATTTAAATTAGAAGTGATTTAGAAATACGCTTCACAATACAAAGAAACTAACTTTGTATTTTAAAAAAAGGGATTCTTTTACTTCATTAATGTGTCTCAGTACTAAGCAATTTTAATTTTCTCAAGATTATAATCTCTCACATATGTATTTAATCTAAAGTCTACAAAGATAGCTTTTTAGCACTGAAGTATCCAAATCCTGGTTCACTGAAACTTGGGGTAGATAGAATGGAAGTTTGGGCCACATGACTTAGGGACAAAGATCCATTCTCACCCTGTTAAGTTCCTCCTGGTCCCATTCTACTCCCAACCATGCTTTCAGTGACTCATTTCTTCCTAGGTTCTCTGCTCTACAGCTGGGTCACACACATTGCATTTAAAGAACTATCTGAAGTCCATGTTTTTGCTCTTGTTAACCTATAGAAGCTAAGTCAGGTTGGGTATTGCTGATGTGGTAGGATATCTAGCTTAATCTTTAAGCTCAGATAGTTGTCTTCAGCTATTGTATCATCTCTAAGTGATGCATCATCTCCAGCCTACACTGGGCTGTCTATGACCTGGTATGAATTCCTACCCAAGCTGGAAGTTCATAAAAGGCTGAAGAAGTTCTCTCATTTTTCAAGCCCATAGCCCCCTGTGTGCTGTACTGACTGCTTCATCAGTTTTGACTTGTTCTCTTTGCCTCACACTTCAGTTTTTGCTTTGGACTGTTTTGCTGGCTTTAAGTTATCCTTCTTGACCTCTACTATCTCTTTATTTTTGGCTGCTTTACTTGTAAATTAATTTGAATAGATTTTTTTCTTTTTGGAATTAAGTAATATTCCTATAGGAATAAATAATGTTACTGGATTAAGTCATAAATGCCTGTGGTTTAAAAAAATAATAAGGAAGTAGAAAGGAATATAAAAAATATAAAAATTAGTCTCTTGGCTCAAGCAACCACTGCTACATGGTTTGTGGGTCTTCTTTCAAGACTGTCTACATATAGCCCTCATTTTCCCCCCAATATGAATAGTAGCTGACTTTGTGCCCTGTTGTGTATATTTGCTTTATTAACAGTACATTTCAGTGTTGTTTGACATCTGTCCATAGATAGATGCCTTATTTTTTTAGGCTGTCTATTTTGCTACAACCTATAGATTTTCCATTCTGCAATCCCTGATGGTTGGGTGATTTTGAGACATGCTGTTTGCTCTGAATCCTTGGCTTCTGGTACTGCCTTGACTGGACCCTGCCTTTTGCTTGAGTGCTGCCTTAGCTGTGTTAGTTCTTCTAGGATCACATCTTTGAATTGACATCTTCAGATTTCCTCCTTTTTATTAACACTTTTAGCTTGCTTCCTTCCTTCCTTCCTTCCTTCCCTCCTTCCTTCCTTCCTTCCTTCCTTCCTTCCTTCCTGATCTCTCTCCCCAGTGAAGCAGAATTTTAGGTAACAGCAACAACAAAAAGGTGTACTTACATGAGACATTTATTAAAATTGATTTAATTGAGCTTAATATTCTTTTTTTAGTCTCTTAGCCTTCTGCTAGAGGAACTATTGACTATCCTAAGGGTAGAAATAGACAAATGAGAAGAAAAGAGAATGATAATTATTTGGTTTGGTATTCAAAACTGGTCATTAATATGAAGTTGGTATCTTTTTTTGAATACTTGTAATATTATTGAGATATATAATATCATAGAAAAAAGATTCTGCTTGTAGAATACCCTACTGTGCAAGGAAGGGCATCTTTTCTCACTCTTAGGGAGGAGTAAATTGTAGTGGAAAATGAGAATTAGCTTTGTGTGATATTGGTATTGTCATTATCATTTTAAATTTAGATTTGGTCATTTACCTTCTTAGAAGAGTTTGTTTTGTTTTTGTACTATTTAAAGCAACATTACTTACATTTAGTGTAAGCTGTGACTGGATGGGGATGCCTCTGACCTGACTTTGTAAACAAAAACTTAGGTTGGAAGTGTGATTTGTCAGAGGTACATTAAAAGAATGCCATACGATATGGATTTTGTTTTTGGTTTTTTTGGTTGTTACATAACAATTGTAGGAAATTTAAAATTGGACTAGGTATTTTTTGGATGAATAAGAAAGTTGTAGATTTAATTGATTTGTCATTCTTAAGCTTCTTCAAAGCATGTCATCTGGGACTATGTTCCTAGACGAGCAGCCATTTATGTTACTTTGGGAATTTCTTAAAGGCACAGACCAGATCCTTTTGTGTTTCTAGTGAATAGCATTGTGACCTCATAGGTGTTCAGTAAATGTTTGCTAAACTAAAAGATTCACCAAGTAGGTACTAGAATAATTTTATTCTATTTATGAATTTACTGTAGTGTGGCAATGTTCCATAATTAAGCTAGTAATTTTTTTTTTTTTACGAGCTCTTGTAGGTGATTGCTTTAAGATAATTTAAATTTTCTTAAGTTCTCCCTGTTACCTTCAAGAACTTTTGTTAAAGGAAGATCAGCTAGAAGTTTTCTTTGTATTGGCCTTGGAAATTAGTTTTGTCACAAATTACGGATTTGCTTGCAATGTTGAGATGATACTGTGTTTAAACAGTCATGCTAAAAGTGATTGAGCTCATGTGTGAATCATTAATAAAGCCACAAATATACCATTTAAAAATCATTATTGCTACAATTTAGGGACACCTGGTGGCTCA